TGGAATAAAAAACCCCAGTTTATTTAATTTACTTTTAGCATGTATTATGCTATCACAGGAAGCATTCCAGAGAGACTACTTAACAGGCAATAAAAAAATGTAGTGATGAGTACGTTAGAAGCATGAGCAGTAAGAGGAGGTAAAAGAAATCGAGCGAGTCGCTTTAGTACAAACATAGAAAGCAACTGGAATATTTTTTTCTGTGTTTTCAGTGAAAGCTAAGATAGGCAAATATTACAAGTACTGTTGGTTATGTACTTGTGGTAAAGTGAAGCCCATTTAGTGTTAGCCATTAGAATTGTTAATTTCTTGTTCCCTGTGTGATTTTTTTTTATTTGATCTTCTGCATTGATCTCTATTTAGAAAGGTGATACCTTTATGTAATTTCTTTTTTGTATGTTCAAAGGAAAATGAACACATAGACCCTGACATGAGCCTTACTCAGTTTCTGATGTACATACTGCATACAAATTGCTGTATAGAGAAAGAGCTCATTTAATTTCATGCAGAAAATTGGAAGTAGTTCATTACAGAGAGGCGCTGCTTGTGTGTTTTGTTCTAAAGGCAGATAGGAAGCTGTGAACAATCTGAAGGATGTGTGGAGCAGGGGACCTTGTGTCATACATTATCTGCAGGGTGCCTCATGTACAGGAGCCTGGGTGTTTGTGTGATGTGAGTAGCAAGAAGAAAACAACCGCGTGAAGAGGTCTTGAAGTGATGCTACTTAGGATGTCAGATTTCTTCTTGTGGTTAAATTGTATGTTTTTTTGGAGAGAAGAGCATTCTTACCTAGAAATCCGAGAGTAAAAGCTGCTTGTCTTGAAAATGTTCAGTAGCCTTTCCGTATGGCAGGTACTCTGTCCACAAGTCAGTCTTTCTCTGGGTGTGTATTTTTCACAATCCTGCTGTGGGATCTTTGAAAATTCTTTCTGCTCTGTAAAGGCTCTTGTTTTCTGTCCATTCTTTCAAGGAGTGTTAAGAGTTTGAAATCTGACTGTTCTCTGTAAGTTAAGCTTTTATTCTGCTAAAGTTAAAAGAAAGTGACAAATTAAGATGTCTGCAGTGTGTAAGACTTCATTTAATCTTTTCTGTGATTGCTTACACCATTAGCACGGAGCTACAGAGTTTGGCATGTGGTTTTGAGAGTGTCATCTGGTTTCAACTGAAGTATCTCAGTTCAGGTAGAAGTAATCCTTTGATCACAGTCCTTCATAACCCTTTTTCTTTCTCTGCATAGCCCTTGACTGCACATAGGCCAGCAGAAAGATGATTAATTGCGCTCTTTGAGATTGTTTCCCATGCAGCTGAAAGAAGTATGACTGACCTGCAGCCTCTTAATCCGAATAAATTCCTTGTCTGATTATATAGCAAGTTAGTGATTTTAACAGCATGAGAGTCCTTCGCTCCTTGTCCACTCACACTGAATGTGTGTCTACCTTATTACGTGGCAATATAAATTAGGTACAGATTAGGTGTGAGCACATAATATTTCTATTGAGTCAGCTGGGGCACATGTCATAGCATTTATCCTGGAAAAAAAATTATATCTGATCTGGCATGAAGTCCACTATAGCAAACTATCACTTTGAAAACTGTGTACAAAAATACATATCAATAGATTGTGCCAATTCATGGCTTTCTGCTGTGCATTTATGGCATTTTTGACCCAGTGTTAGAACTTTATGGAAACCTGGACTGACATTTAGTTTGGCTGAGCAGTTAGAGGACATCTGGATTTTCTAGATATTCTACAGTACTTCATGGGATGCTGTGAGACTAAAGGAAAGTGTGAAGCACCACTACCAGTACTGTTTTTGAAGAACAGGTAAATGCAAGGTTAGAGTTAAATTTGTTTTCACTTTGAGCTTTAGGAAGTTAACAGGTTGCTCTTTGTCAGCAAGTTCCCAGAACAGGCTCTTCGCCTCCTCAGCTGTGCAGTGAAACTTGGCTTAGTTTTATCCTATGCAAGACAAAAGTCAGACTACAAAGTGCCTCTTTGCTGTTTGCAACAGAGAATGCCACAGGCATAGCTTAGTGCATTTCTTTTCCTCGCTGGCTGTGTCTCACAACATTTTTCTACGTGGGCACAGATGTTTTCAGTAGCTGTGGACTGTGTGAGCCAGAATAAACTTTGCTGTGCCAGTAAAGAACATTGCTGCAAAATTAAAGAATGTAGATTTGTCCTGGTGTGTCATGAGCACATGAAGAAAAAAAGATGTAAAATTCCTGTTATCAGAATACTTCTTTAGTACATGGCATTGGAACAGGAAAAGGTTTTTCCTGTAACAAGTCACTGTTTTGCCAGATAGTGCGACTACTGCAGGTCTTTAAGATTATGTTCCCGGTGACTGCTGCATCCTTATAAGAAAGAAGGGGATTTATAGGAAGTAGTAGCTTCTATTGGACTGCTTTCAGCTATTTCCTTTTGAAAAAAATCTGTAATTTCCATATCACTTGAACATCTTACAGTTAGTTTTAAATAGTCAGGGATTGTCCTTATTGCCTCAGGTATGTATTCCATCTCTTGGTGTGCCACAGTACTTCTACGACTAATAGCTTGTGTGTAGGGGGAAAATTGCTCCAGTCTCCCATTTGTTGTACTAATGTGTCATGTTCAGTCTTTATAAAAAAACATCATGGAAAAGACAGTCGTAATTGCTGAATGGTAGGGGAAGAACCTGTGATCTGCAAATCTATGTAATCTGCAAAACATTGCTCACTGTGCTTATAACTGATTGAGCAGGCTTTTCTTGCAAGGAAAGGTAGGCATGGGTAGAAGTGAGGGCATGCAGTGGATCAGGGAAGGTAGAGAAGTTCCTCATTCCTCTGGGACTAAACTGAGAAGCCTGAAGTACCTCACCAGGGCTGGATGCACAGACATATGGGCTGAGCTGGGAGCTCCTCTCTGGGGCTGGGCAGTGGCAGCCACCAGCACAGGGCATCTTTTGAAATCCTGGGGAACTGTGCACTCATACAAGTGTTCAGATTTATAGGTGTTCATCAGCAGTAGCACTGTATAACAAAACAAACCTTTTTGATTTCACAGAATAAGTGTTGTCATAAGCTTTCCTGGTCTTTAAGGAGAGCCAGGGCCACTCTGCTGAGCGCTGGACATATTCGTCTTGCATTACTGTCTGCATAAAAAAGAAGTGCCGTTGCTGCTGCACAGAGGCATGCATGCATCATCACATTTGGGACACATCTGTCAGTCTGAGGAGCATAGGCATGCGTCACAGCGGCAGCAGCAAGGTGTTGAGGCAGTGGAAGTGCCAGCTGCTGGGGTTTAGTTTACCTGCCAGAGGTTAGCTGGTACTTTTTTGTCCAGAGAGTGGAGAGGTAGGCTGTGATTTCAACTAACACTACATTGATGGGAAAAGAAGAAAAATGCTTAGAAAGCCAGCTACCTTGTTCGTTGGTTACAAGGTATGTTTACTCTCTGTCGTGAGCCCGGATCACGGGATGCTGTGGATACCAAAACATTTGTAACTGAAGGAATTTCTAGGTGTGTCAGCATTACTGGAGAAGCTTTTATTCCTTGGATGTATTGGGCTGAAGCGGGGCCGCTTGTTCCTGTCCCTGCACTGACTTCTGCTTTGTGAGCCATTTGGGGAAATGGATTGGGGAGCTGGTTTGGTTTTTCCGCCTGCTAAACAGACACAACATCAGCACAGCTGAAACACAGAAGTCCTCCACACCTCCCAGACAGATCAGTCTGCTCTTTATGTATACTGACGAGCTGCACAAAGACTTTTCCCAATAAAGTGCAGGTGTGGGAATGGGTGATGGGAGGCATATCTGTCTAGGGTAGTCCTTCTGTTGGAGAAGTGGGCATCTCATCGGATTAGGCCTGTGGTTGGCTGCTCAGTGTGTCTGAGGTTCCCAAACTCTAAGCCTTCCCTTCCCAGGACCCTTCGTCTCTGACTTGTAATTGCCTGACTTCTCATCATTGTGGTTGTTTGTTTGTTTGTTTTTTTCCCGCATTTGGGAAATTTGGGACTCTACACCAGCTTAATTTTTGTGCTACATTGTTCTCCTTGCTCTACCTAACAGAATATATATATAACAGCTTGAAAAGTGGGCCCATGTGGACCTCATGAGGTTCAGCAAGGCCAAGTGCAAGGTCCTGCACCCGGGTTGGGACAACCCCTGGTATCAATAAGGCTGGAGGATGAAGGGATTGAGAGCAGCCCTGCTGAGAAGGACTTGGGGGTACTGGTGGATGAAAAATTAGACATGACCTGGTAATGTGTGCTCACAGCCCAGAAAGCCAACCATATCCTGGGCTTCATCAAAAGCAGTGCAGCCAGCAGGTTGAAGGAGGTGATTCTGTCCCTCTACTCTGCTCTGGTGAGATCCCACCTGGAGTACTGCATCCACCTCTGGGGTCTTCAGCACTGGAAAGACCTGTTAGAGTAAGTCCAGAGGAGAGCCACAAAAGTGATCAGAGGGATGGACCATCTCTCCTGTGAGGACAGGCTGAGAGTTGGGGTTGTTCAGTCTGAAGAAGAGAAGGCTCTGGGGGGCCTCATTACCGCCTTTCGATACGTAAAGGGAGCTTATAAGAAAGATGGGGACAGACGTTTTAGCAGGGCCTGAAGCAACATGACAAGGAGTAATGGTTTTAAATTCAAGGAGGGTAGATTCAGACTAGATACTAGGAAGAAGTTTTTTGCAATGAGGGCGGTGAGGCACTGGAACAAGTTGCCCAGAGAAGTCATGGATGCCCCATCCCTGGAGGTATTCAAGGTCAGTTTGGATGGGGCTTTGAGCAACCTGGTCTGGTTGAAGATGTCCCTGCTCATTGCAGTGGCAGTTGGACTAGATGACCTTTAAAGGTCCCTTCCAACCCAAACGATTCTATGATTCTGTATTGTCTACTATATTTAGCTAATACTGTATTCTGAAGTGATCAGGGTAAAAGCATTTAAAGTATATGCACATACACAATTTATATAGAATTATAAAATCTTCTCTTCTTGAAATCTGTGTTGTTTTCTTAGGTCCCCAAATACTTGTCACAACAGTGGAATAAAGCTTCAGGAAGAGGTGAAGTGGGAAAACTAAGGATTGCCAAGTAAGCCTTTACTGTACCTTTATTGGTTACAATTCTTAGAAGTTACCTGTAGTAAAATAGATTATGTTGCACCTCTTATACACATAATCCTGTTTCTTGCAAACACTGTGCATATTCCTCTGATACCTGTATGGTAGTTGTTTGTATAGTGATATGGAATATAAATTAAAAGAAATTATACTGGGGAGTGGCTGTATCCCCTGGCATGATGTTTGATTTCTTAAACCCAAGAAATATGTACATCTAACTGGAGAATGTTCTTTAACTTACGTGTGCTATTTTCCCATTTATTCATGGGCATCAGCATAACAAAAAAAATCGAGCAGCTCAGGAGTGAAGATGAGTAACAAAATTAGAATTTGAATTTGCTTTTTTATCAGGGAAGCTAAACTTGTGGAATTAGATTATGGAAACTAAAACATTAAATATTTTCTTTTGCAGAAATCAAGGAAGAACAGAAGTAAGTAATTACTGAATACAAAGACTGTGAATGTGTTATATTTTGAATTCTAAAAATTGTTTAGAACGTGCTGGTTTCTAATGTCACATATTTTTTGTTGCATCTGTAATGAAACATTGTACCACAGAATTAGAAGAAGAGAACTCTCTTCGTAGCTCTGCCCATAGATTTACTGTGGGACTTTCATCAGGCATCTGTTCCCTGTTTGTTTACCAGTCTGTAGTTGTGGTAGAAACCTTCTCTCTAAACATTTTGAGATGTGTTAGTGCAGAAGGCTGTCTGAGAACTAAGGAGGATGATGATAAAGCAAATGAAGTTGCAGATGGAGGGCTGCAATTTCAGAAAGTATTCTGTCATATTTGGAATTTGGTCCTGCTAAATATAAAGCAAGATGAAGGTTTTTCTGCGTGCAAAGGTAACTGCTTTTATTAGCAGCCTCAGTGAATGATAGTAACTTCCTGTGTCTTTTACAGGAGACGAGGGATGTTGCATTAGTTAGAGTTACTTCAAATACCACATAGGTCTGTCACTGAATTGGAAGAAACTGGACAAAAAAAATGGCAGGGAAGCAAGCTGCATTTGCCATTTGATAATCTGGCCAAACTCCTTTTAGAATAAGTGGAAAGAGTTCTACTGGAGGTTTGGATGTTTGATTGGACTCTTCTAGTCTGGAATATGAGCCAACCTCCCTAATTTTGTGAGCCCCACGCCAAAGTCTTGATATTGATGAGAGCCACAAAGCTCATTTTGCAGCCAGTGTAGAGCCAAGCAGTGAGGAACCTCATGAGAATGGGTGCCTTCCTGGGGACCTGTTGCCCCATGGCAGAATGAGACTTAGCAGGACGTACAGGAAAAGCAAGCAGTGCCGGTCTGAAATATCCCTCTTCAGGTTTCTTGCTGTGTCCTGCAGCTAGGGATTCTGGTCCTTCCAGTGACCCCTCACCTCCTGTATTGGGCATACTACTGTAAACATAGCAAAGGAGCCATATTTGAACCTCTCCTAGGCTGCATGCAATTCAGGAGTCCCTGGGCTAATAACACTTGTTGTGGTACATTTTCTGGAACTGTAGTACTTCTTCTGGAACTCAGCTGGCTATGTGAAACATTTTAAAGCACTCATACTGAACAATGTCTGAAAACCAATTATGCTTTACATTTTAACAAGTAAAATCAAATTGTTCTCTGACTTCAGGAGGAAGTAATTTACAATTTTTTAAAAGATGAGTAAATTTTATTGCGTACATTAAAGCTTTCAATACTGTATTTCATCAAGAGATCAATATAGTAATATTCTTATGCCACTCTTTATGTTTTTGAAATGGAAATGTGGTATACTACTTGTTTTTTCTCTCTTTCTGTTTCCCCATAACTTGTAAAGCTCTGTAATTGAGTTGGTTTAGTAACACTGTGGTAATTGTGACTGTTAGGTGTCATTTACTTTGAATGAAGAGCTTGCAAGCATCAACGATATTGGAGGAAAACCTGCTTCAGTCAGTGCACCAAGGGAACATCCATTTCTTTTGCAAAGTGTGGGAGGACAGACCTTAACAGTGTTCACAGAAAGTTCAGTAGGTAAGTTAGAATTAAAGTTATTTGTTACAATTCCCGTGTACATGATTTCAATAAACTGAATGCTGTAAGGGCTAGAAGACTTAGAATTCAGATTATGGCTCTGTTTTGTTGTTAACTGCGTAAATAACACTGCTGTACTTTTTTACGTCTGTCTCTTTTCTTCATATGATTGTGCAGCTAGTTTAAGTTCTCCACATAGGCCTATCGTGTACGTTCCAGCTGTGGGTCTGCTGAAGAGAAGAGAGAGAACGTGGAGTACAGAACATTGTGTATTCCCCTTTAGGGTTTTCACCGGAAAAATGTTTATGTGTTGACATGTACATTTGGGACCAACTAATATTTTTTTTCTCCTTGAATTGGTCTCTGCTGTGAATATAATTTTGTAAGAATGCTTATTCTTCTTCTGTCCAGTTGAACAGATCCATGTTAGCAATAAACACATTTGTTCACCACATTTTCTTGAAGTATGTATATGGTTTAAGTGTATTAAAGCTTAATAAGGTCATAATACCAAACAATGCAGCAGTAAGGTTATCATTGTTCTCACTGGATTTCAGCTGTCTGGCCTGCCTTAAGTTCAGCTCAGTAGCTGTAGGAGTGATTAGAATATTCAAGATCATATATCCTACATTGCATGTTAGACTTAAGGGCCATGGCAGTGTTACACTGTACAATCAGTTCAGCAGACTGCCTGGCATGTAACTCCTGTGTGCTGTAAGGTTTTCTACTGAAATTATGTTGTCACGTTCTGAATGTTGGAGAGAGAGGAAAGGTGTCTGCAGAGTGACTCTCATTGTCTGCAGAAGGTATCTCAGTTTCAGGCACTTAGGTTTTAGTGTCCCCAGAAGACAAATAATAGTAATGGTTTTTTTTGATACCCTGCCTGCTGTGGGGCAGAAAACTACAGTGTGACCAGCTTCTGATGTTTTGATGTTCATAGGCTGGTAAGTAATTGCTGTGATGCTTTATCAAATAAATGAGGGAGGGAGAATCATAACTCACAGGACAGAGTTAGAATACTTAGCAAGTTTGACTACCTCCTTTTTAAAATAAATTTTAAAGATTTAATGGCTGAGCACTGAGATATTAAGGTCCAAGTAGCTTGACTGTCTCAGTTGTATTTAGAAATAAAAGCTCTTACGCTACAACTTGGCGCTCATTGTTGTAACTCATTTGTAATCCTTTTCTCTGGAACTAATGTAATCGTGTTACTGGTTTTTCACTTTAAAAAAGTTGGTATTTTTGTGTGTGTGACTTGAAATACTTTACTGGGTTTTATATTTCATAGATTATAAATGTGTAAAGAAATAGGGAACAAGTTTTTAGAAATGTTGTAAGCATTTCAGTAGTGCCTCATCCTTTTTTTCGTTTTTCTGTGCCCCAACCTCAGAATGCTTGACAAAAGAGAGAGCTTTCAGGTGTGAAAATGTGTTTAGAGTATACATTCAGTGACTTTTCCATGTTTGCTGCAAATCCCATGGGATTTTGCTTCCCAAGGCACCTTTTGATACAAAATATTGCTTTGAAAACCTCTAACAGTAACTTAAACTGCAGTGAGTGCAGATGCGTAAGTTGGAGTATTTGTCATCAGTTAGAATGGAAGTTGTTAGCAAGAAAGTCATTAGAATGTGATATCTGGAAGATGCCCATTTGTTTGTGTTTTACCATCTGTAATACCAGTGTCTCAAAACCTTTAGGTTCTCAGAAGCTGTCCAATTTTCACTTAATCAGTTAAAAATTTTGCATTTCTTAGCAACTAGAAAATGTTATTCAAAGGCCATGCATCTATTGAGTAGAGGTTATTATATTAATCGGGAGCAATGGGTAGCTAGTGAAATTAGAAATGTTTGGAATGAAGCACTGAATAAGCATAGACCCTGTCAAATTTTTTTTTGCTTGAGATTTGGAAGCATAACATGCAGTCAGTGAGTTTTCATGAAACTGGCTTAAATGCAAAATGGCTAAAATGTATTACTGTTATGTTAAAGCTGGAGTTGGCAGTACAATCAAAATAAACTTTAATGTGCTTTTCTTGCATTACTTTTTTTTGGTTGTAAAGATGAACATGACACAAATATTCCAAATCCCAGTCAGATTTCTTACATATACCATGTTCTTGCAGGCACACTCTGGTGTTTAAATGTGTATTGCCAATGTGTTTTGAGCTCCACGGCCAATTTCGACAAATGTCGTAGTGAATTATGGCTAGTGTGAAAACAGGTGTTTGAAGAGTGGAATGAAGCTATATGGATATCCCAACTGAAAGAAAGGCTGCTACCCTGTTTGATGCCAGAAAGTCCACATGGAAAAAGCCACTGTAATTATAGCAACCGTGGAAAAAGGCTCAATAAAACCTTACACATCTTTGCACATCAGTCAACCTGCAGTAAGAGGCAGTCATAGGAAATTGAAACGTATTCATTCTTATGTTCACAGACCAGTATTTGTCTTCAAATTATAATTAGCATATTTTTGTGAAAAGCATTGGTGATCTTGTTCCTTCTTCTTTTGCAAAGTGCACCATGGAACAGAATCAGTATGCCAGTTTCAACTGTGGGCCAAAGATTAAGCTGGTATGGAACTGCAGATGGCATTGCTAATGTTACATCTGGAAGGATGCATTTAAGGAATTATGCAAATGAAATATGGATTACAAAGTGCTTCATGTACTGTTGCTCTCAGTCAGTACCCTTCTTGAAGACTGAACTTACCTAAAATAGAGCAAATGGTGTAAAACTGTTGGGTTTCTTTTGTAAAGGGTGGAGTTGTTTTTTCCCCCTTTTTTTTTTTTTGGAGCACATTAAAAGCCCTAAGATATATTCTGTGTGGTGTCCTCTAATTCTGGGATCCTTATGTTGTAGTGACCATCTTTTTGATGGTCTTTCAGAAGATGAATGAGGGATGTCAAAGCTGCCTCTGAAATATTTCCATAGTCTTGGAAGATGCTGCAGGGAGTTTACATATTCCGGATAATTCAGCATTTCACATTGACTTGTCAGGTTACTTAGAGCAAGCAAAAGAGATAAAATTTGACAAGTAATTTAGTATTTCTGCATGGTGTTCTTTTTAGACTTCTGAAAGGATTTTCTGTGATTTTTGTTTTGTTTTGTCTTAAGAGAACTTGCTTCTAATGCTTGTTGTAGTTGGAAGAAATCCTTTAGTTCTTACATTGTAAACCTCCACATCTCTGGTCATCCTGTATCAGTTAACGGACAGCAGTAGGCTCTTCTGAGGTGCTATTTGTTATGTACAAAGTCTAATGAATTGCACTTTCTTGGTTTTCTGCAGTGTGTGTACTAGATCTGATCTAATATGAAGCTGGATAAAGTGGATCCCATCCCAGATACTATTAAAAATCTGGTCTATGCTGACTTTCACACGTGGCGCACTTTCTGTTCAGACTAACTCTGGGGTTTCTCCTGTATCTTCTCCTATTTTTGTATTTTGAAATGGCTCTAATGAATAATGCTGAGTACAATGCACTCTGAAAGCAGTAGTTGCAAAGTATCTCCCTACTTCCTTTGCATGGCTGTTTGCATGTGTGAGACATTGTGTTGTGTTAATTGCTGGTGTTCCTGAACATCAGTTTAGCAAAGCTGGTGGGAAATGTGGCTTCTGTGATGACTGCAGAGGGATCCAAAGCACAGTTGTCTCTTGCTGTCTAGGTCTTGCTGTCTGGGCTGGTTTCAGTATTATTTCTGCATTAAATATGAATTACATTCTGTTCCATAAACATCACCATATGTACATCAACAGTTGCTATGCAACAACGCTATTTGTGCTTCCAGTCATTTAATCTTATTTTTGTCATCAGCTATCATAGCTGTAATTTTGGGGGCAGGAGAAAAGAAGAGCATTTTGCATCTATTTCAATGTGTGTTTCATTGAAATACATTAATTTTTCTTGTGTGTGTATAGCTAAGAACTGTCTAGGGGCAAGTCATGGGTTTGATATAGGGTGTGTTTGGCTACAATTTTTTTTTTTTCTGAGCTTCTTGCTGGCAGACACCCTGGCATAAGGAGGTGCTGTAATTTGAGAGTATCTTGGTTGGAAGAATGGGAACGTGCTTTTTGTTAAACATTTAACTGCAAACTTTTTCCATTGTGCTTATAAATTAATTCTCTTACTGCTTTAATTGCCTGTTGCTTAATTTTTCTGCCAGCAGGTGGTTTAGGATTGCTGGCTCTAAATATAAATAAAAAACGCAGCTATGTTATAGATAATGATAGAAGTTTCTTACTGAGCTAGTTCTTGGAAGAATGTGCTACTAATGTGACTTGGGAAAACAGAGACCTTGACAGGCAATTGCATCCCTAATGGTGAGGGACTGATGGGTGGAGAGGAAGATTTTACACTGTGGGCACAAATGAAATATAAGATATTTCAGTAAAGTTGGGTGAGATGACTCATTTTATTGAAATTTTGAATGTCTCTTCACAACTCCCCCTTCATAAGTGGGATTGCCTTAGTACCTATTTTAGTGACTTTAAATTCCTTCATGCTCATTCTATCTTACTGAAAGGAAAAAGTGTTTAGATAATTCCATTGACAGAGTAACTACGAGACCTTTGTTTCTGAGCAGCATTCGTGCATGGATTGTTTCACTGTTCATGCTTCACAGGAGATTGCTGGCTCTTAACACTGTGTTCTTTAGTTTTCTGAGTCTTCTTTCAGAATCTCAATTCATGGAATTCAAGTTTTTTGTATTCCTATTCAATAATACATATAACTCTGCCTATATATCTTAGAACAGCTCCTTTATTCCCACACCTCTTGTATATTCTCCCCTTGGTTTAGGTTGGGGTTTTTTTTCCTTTATACAGCTTCTCATATATGAAAGGACCTTTTCTGAGTTTGTACATGAATCACAGCTACTATATAACGTACATGTGATTATATTCCAGTGAAAATGAATATTCAGGAGTTCGTATTCTGTATTTTGTATATTTGTATTTTGAAATATGAGATATATCTAGCCATTTAAAGAAATGTGAAGGGA